TTTTTTGACAGAGTTTCGCTCTTGTTGCCCAGGCTGGAGTGCAATGGTGGGATCCTGGCTCACCGCAACCTCCGCCTCCCAGGTTCAAGCAGTTCTCCTGCCTCAGCCTCCCAAATAGCTGGGTTTATAGGCGTGCACCACCATGCTCGGCTAATTTTGTGTTTTTAGTAGAGATGGGGTTTTTTCCATGTTGGTCAGGCTGGTCTCGAACTCCTGACCTCAAGTGACCCACCCACCTCAGCCTCCCAAAGTGCTGGGATTATAGGCATGAGCCATTGTGGCTGGCCAAATTTTTTCTTTTACACAGCCCCTCCCTCCTTTCTCTCCTTCTCCCCTTCCCTGCCTCCCTCCCTTCCTCCGTCCTTCCCTCCTTCCCTCTTGATCATTCAACTTGAAGTTTCTTTTCTTAAGCATTTTTGGAAAAATTGTTTTGTGGAGATAGGGTCTTGTCATGCTGCCTAGGCTGGTCTTGAACTCCCGGCCTCAAGAGATCCTCCCACCTCAGCCTCCAAAAGTGCTGGGATTACAGGCGTCAGCCACTGCAGCCAGCAGTAGTTTTGTTCTTTCTTTCTTTCTTTCTTTTTTTGGAGATGGAGACTTACCAGGCTGGAGCCCGGTGGCACAATCTCCGCTAACTGCAACCTCTGCCTCCCGGGTTCAAGCGATTCTTCCACCTCAGCCTCCCAAGTAGCTGAGACTGCAGGCACATGCCAAACACCCAGCTAATTTTTGTATTTTTAGTAGAGACGGGGTTTCACCATGTTGGCCAGGATGGTCTCCATCTCTTGACCTTGTGATCCACCCGCCTTGGCCTCCCAAAGTGCTGGGATTACAGGCGTGAGCCACCGCGCCCTGCCAGTTTTGTTCTTTCTTGTTACGCTTTTGTTTTTGCTGTTGCATCTTTGTTTATTGCCATTTGGCTGCTTTTCGTTTTGCTGTGCCCTTACATCATCATTGCTCTGATACAGCATGGGTGATTTCTGATTGCTCTGATATGGTGTGGGGGATTTTTAATTGCTCTGATATGGTTTGGGGTGTTTTTTTTAAGTCCTCTTCATCATCATATCTGAGACTATTTTATTTTCCTCTCAGAACTGTGATAGAAGGGCTGGGTATTATTCTAGACACATTTCTGTAGCATTAGGGATTGGTTAGAGAAAGCAGGAAGCTCTGTTGAGTTGTGCGCAGTGTTTTTTAAAAATAACTTGGACTCTGTCTTTTAAGATTTTGCTAAACATCCTGAATGAGGTTCGAGCCCCACATGGGAGACTGCTTGTCGTTCCAAGGTTACAATGTAATCTTGGAACCTGTACTTTTAATCAGAGAGTTGGCTCTGTTTCAGCTTTGCTTATTTCACTTAAAAAACAAAAAACAAAAAAACAAAACTCTTTCCACTATTACCTGGTCAGAAAAATAGAAAGATTTAAAAATGCCCATTCCATTTTCTTCTCTTCAGACTTGGTGTTAGTGAGAATTTTCAGGATTTTGCTGCTTTAGCGATGTAGTTTCTGGGGCAGACAGCTGAATGGTGCTGGATCACCTGGTTATGCTCTGGGATCTTAATTTTTTTTCTTGTCTGTGTTACCGCACAGCTTACAGTTTCCTGGAGATCCCATGCTCTCCCCCTGTGCACCTGCTGCTCCATCTCAGGAGAGCGGAGAGATGGGCGGACCTGGTAAACTCTCACTCACCCTTCAAGACTCAGCTTATTTACCAGTCACATTCTCCAAGGAGTCTTTTCCACTTATTTCTTGCCACTGCCTAGACAAACAGAGGAACTGCCTCCATTGGCTCTGTGTTCCTGATGCATGCCATTCCTTGAATTATAAGCATGTTGCAGTCTCAATTTATTTTCCTATTTTATATATATATATTTTTGAGACGGAGTTTTGTTCTTGTTGCCCTGGCTGGAGTTCAATGGCATGATCTTGGCTCACTGCAACTTCCATTTCCCAAATTCAAGTGATTCTCCTGCCTCAGCCTCCAGAGTAGCTGAGATTACAGGTGCCTGCCACCATGCCTGGCTAATTTTTGTATTTTTTAGTAGAGATGGGGTTTCACCATGTTGGCCAGGCTGGTCTCAGACTCCTGACCTCAGGTGATCGCTCGCCTCATCCTCCCAAAGTACTGGGATTACAGGTGTGAGCCCGGCCTATTTTTCTATTTTCCTTTGAGTTCTTACTACTGTGAGTTCTTTAAGGCAAGAAAAGCATCTTATTTATTTCTCTATCTTGAAGGTTTAGCTCAGTAGCTGACTGTAGCTGACTTACAGTAGGGGAGAAAGGAAGGAAGCTAAAGTTTACGGAGCGACTAGTATTTAATAGCACTGTTTAGATGCTTTCGATATTATTAAATCTGGCTGGGCGCGGTGGCTCACACCTGTAATCCTGGCACTTTGGGAGGCTGAGGTGAGCGGATCACCTGAGGTCAGGAGTTGGAGACCAGCCTGGGCAACATGGTGAAACACTATTTCTACTAAAATACAAAAATTAGCTAGGTGTGGTGGCACATGCCTATTGTCCTAGCTACTGAGGAGGCTGAGGCAGGAGAATCACTTGAACCCAGGAGGCAGAGGTTGCAGTGAGCTGAGATCACACCACTGCACTCCAGCTTGGGCAACAGAGAGACTCCAACTAAAAAATAAAAATGTAACTATATCTTATCTAACCTCATAACAACCCTGGGAGGTAGGTAATGATATTCCCATTTAATGAGGGAGATTTAAGCTGAAAAGTTAAATCACCTGTCTGAGATTCTGCACTCGGTGAGGCACAGGGTTCTGTCTTCACGTCTCCCTGACTCCCAAGCTTACCATCATGTTCATTAAGTACTTGTGGACTGAATGCTTATGTCTATTTCTGGGCAAATTTGTCCTCAAAGTAATTTTACTACATATTTGCTTATAAATAACCTTCTTATTTTTTCTTTCTAGAAATGGGGTTTGACCGATACAAAATGGTGGTGCAAGTAGTGATTGGAGAACAAAGAGGTGAAGGAGTATTGTGAGTATCTGGATTTTCCTTCTTGGTTTTATTCATCTATATTTCTTTCTTTCTTTCTTTCTTTTTTTTTTTTTAAGACGGAGTTTCGCTCTTGTTGCCCAGGATGGAGTGCAGTGGAACAATCTCGGCTCACTGCGACCTCCGACTCCCGGGTTCAAGAGATTCTTCTGCCTGAACCTCCCAAGTAGCTAGGATTATAGGTGCCTGCCATCAGGCCTGGCTAATTTTGTATTTTTAGTAGAGATGGGGATTTCTCTATGTTGGTCAGGCTGGTCTCAATTCCTGACCTCAGGTGATTCACCTGTCTCAGCCTCCCAAAGTGTTGGGATTACAGGCATGAGCCACCGTGCCCAGTCTTATTCATCTATATTCCTTATGAGGTATCTGTCCTCTTGAGAATTCAGTAAGAGTGTGTCTCTACAAGAGTGAGGGTGGCCCGGTGTGGTGGCTTACACCTGTAATCCTAGCATTTCGGGAGGCCAAGGCAGGTGGATCACCTGAGATGAGGAGTTTAGGACAAGCCTGGCCAAAATGGTGAAACCCCGTCTCTACTGAAAATACAAAAATTAGCTAAGTGTGGTGGCGTGTGCTTGTAGTCCCAGCTACTCAGGAGGCTGAGGCAGAATCGCTTGAACTCAAGAGGCGGAGGTTGCAGTGAGCTGAGATTGTGCCATTGCATTCCAGCCTGGGTGACAGAGCAACACTCTGTCTCAAAAAACAAAAATAAAAATAAAGTATCATTATCATCTCTAACATGTTGTCAGTCCTTGATATTATAAAATATGCAGTTAGTGTTCAGATATCCAAGATTCCCTCATATATGTATGTTTGTGTTTTCTTTCTTTTTTTGTTTAAAGAGACAGTCTCATTTTGTTCCCGGGCTGGCATGCAGTGGCACCATCACAGCTCATGCAGCCTTGGACTCATGGGCTCAAGGGATCCTCCTGCCTCAGCCTTCTGAGTAGCTGGGACTGCAGGTGTGCACCACCACACCTGGCTAATTTTGTATTTATTTTTTTGCAGAGATGGGTCACAGTCTGTTGGCCAGGCTGGTCTTGAACTCCTGGGCTCAGGCAGTTCACCAACCTTGGCCTCCTAAAGTGGTGGAATTACAGGTTTAAGCCACCATGCCAGACCTGTTATTTTCTTTTTTACAATTTGTGCAAATTAAGATTCAGACAAGGTCCACACATTGCATTTCGTTGATACGTAAATTAGGGTTTTTTTAAGACGTAGGATCTTGCTATATTGCCCAGGCTGGATTACAGTTGCTATTCACAGATGTGATCATAACACACTACAGACTTGAATTCCTTGGCTCAAGTGATCCTTCCACCTCAGCCTACCAGGTAGCTGGGACTGTGGGTGCACACCATGGCATCAGGCTTTAAATTTAATCTATCATTTTTGCTGCCTCATTTCTCTCTCTCTTTTTTTTTTTTGAGACGGATGGAGTCTTGCTCTGTCACCCAGGCTGGAGTGCAGTGGTGTGATCTCAGCTCACTGCAACCTCTGCCTCATGGGTTCAAGCAATTCTCCTGCCCCAGTCTCCCGAGTAGCTGGGATTACAGGTGTGCACCACCACGCCTAGCTAATTTTTGTATTTTTAGTTGAGACGGGGTTTCACCATGTTGGCCAGGTCGGTCTTGAACTCCTGACCTTGTGATCTGCCCTCCCTGGCCTCCCAAAGTGCTGGGATTACAGGCATGAGCCACCACAACCAGCCTCTCTTTGCTCTTTTAATACTGCCATTTAATTTTATTTTTATGACAGAGTCTTGCTTCCTCATGCAGTCTGAAGTGCAGTGGTGTGATCTGACTCACTGCAACCTCTGCCTCCTGGGTTCAAGTGATTCCCCTGCCTCAGCCTCCTGAGTAGCTGGGATTACAGGTGCACACCACCATGCCTGGATAATTTTTGTATTTTTAGTAGAGATACGGTTTTACCATGTTGGCCAGGCTGATCTGAAATTCCTGACCTCAGGGGATCCACCCGCCTCGGCCTTCCAAAGTGCTGGGATTGCAGGCGTGAGCCACTGTGCCCAGCCTGTTGTTTTTTTTTTTTTGTTTTTTTTCCTGCCATTTATTTGTTGAAAAAATTGGTTTGTCCTGTAGAGATTCCTATATTCTGGCATTTGCTGATTATATACCTATGGTATTGTTTAATATGTATTCCTGTACTTCTTGAAGATAAATAATTAGATCTAGACTTAATTAGCCATAGGTTTGAGGTTGGGGAAAGACTTTTCTTTGCTTGTTTTTGTTTTTTATTTTATTTTTTTGAGACGGAGTCAGTTTTATTATTCGATTGAAGGTGGTATGTCCTCTCTAGCCACTACTGCTTTCT